ATCCATTTTGATTTCAGTTTAGTGCATGCTGAAAGACATGGGTCTAGTTTTAATATTTGGCATGTGGAAAGCCAGTTTTTCCACCACCATTTATTAAAGAAGTTATCTTTCTTCTAGTGAAGGTGTTTGCCTCCTTCATTAAAGATAAGGTAGCTGAGTATGTTTGGAGTTATTTCTGCACCTTCTAATGTGTTCTGTTGATGCTCAGGTCTGTTTTTTTGCCCATACCATTCTGTTTATATCACAGTAGCTTTGTAGTATAATTTCAGGTTAGGGACTGTGATTCTCTATGCCTTGCCTTTGTTGCCCAGAATTGCCTTTGCTGTTCTAGGTGTCTTCTAATTCTAAATAAATTTTGTTTTCTCTATTCTGTGAGATGTGCTGTTGCTATTTTGATACAGACTGCATTAAATCTGTATAACAATTTTGGGAGTATGGCCTTTTTCAATATATTGGTTCTTCCTACCCAAGAACAAGGGATATCTTTTTCCATTTTCTTTTTTATTTTAAAGAGAAAAAAAACAACAAAGAAAAATAACAATACAAAAACAATAAAAATGATACAGAATTTCAAAATAAAATGACAAAATTAACAGTGGTTATTATATTACATATTGTTATCTTCAACGAAGTTGCTCAGATTACTAGATGTAAGAATGCAAGATTGATCAAACAAAGAGAATAGCTGGGCATGGTGGCACATGCCTGTAATCCCAGCATTCAGGAGGCTGAGGCAGGAGGATCATGGCAAGTTCAAGGCCAGCCTGGGCTACAAAGTGAGTTCAAGGCCAACCTGAACTGTATAGCGAGACCCTGTCTCAAAAAGACATAAAAAGAAAAAGAGAGAGAGGGAATAAAAAATAATTTAAAAAAAATTAGAAACAATACAGAGCTTCACTAAACAAGATGGTAGGAATTCAACAATGGTTGCTATATTGCTGTCTTTCCATTTTCTGATATCTTCAACCTCCTTTTTCATAGCACTATAGTTTTCAATATAAAGTTGTTTTACTTCCTTCATTAGATTGATTCCTAGGTATTTCATTTTAAGGGATGCTATTCTGGAAGATACTGTTCACTAGTTTCTCTTTCAGTGAGTTTGTTGTTTGTGTACAGGAATGCCGTTGATTTCTGAGTGTTAACTTTGTGTCCAGCTACACAACTGAATTTGATTATTAAATTTAGAAGTCTTTTGGTAAAGTCTTGTGCAGTCTTCTCTGTAGAGTATCATGTCATTTGCAAATAATGATAATTTTACTTCTTCCTTATCTTTATTTCTTTTCTTTCTTTCTCTTGCTAATTGCTCTGACTAATGTTTCGAGAACTATATTGAATAAGAGTGGTGGCAGTGCACATCCTTGTCTTTTCCTGATTTTAGAGTGAAATCTTTCAGTTTTTGACCATTTGGTATGATGTTGGCCGTTGGTTTGTCATAGGTGGCTTTTATCAGATGGAGATAAAGACAATTATTCCAATTTTCTGTAGGGTTTTTATAATGAGTGGGTGTTGGACTTTTCTGCGTCTATTGAGAGAATCATATCTTGGCTCTGTTAACATGGTGTAATACAGTTATTTATTTGTGTACATTGAATCCTCCTTGCATCCTTGGGATGAATTCTACTTGGTCCTGATGTATAATCTTCTTGATAATTTGTTGTATTCTGTTTGCCCGTATTTTATTGAGGATTTTTATGCCTATGTTCAGTAGTGAGATTGGCCTGTATATCTTTTTGACTAGCTTTGGTAATTCATTTGTATCTAGAAATCTGTCCATTTTTTCTGTATTTTCCATCTTATTAGAATGCAGATTCTCAAAGTAGATATTGATGATCTTCAGGATTTCTGTAGAATCTGTTACGATTTCACCCTTTTCATTCGTAATTGCATGGATTTGAGTCTTTCCTTTTTTTTGATAAGGTTGGCTAGCGTTTGTGAATTTTAATCTTTCAAAGAACCAATTCTTCAATTCATTAATTCCTTATATTGTTTTCTTAGTCTTAATTGCATTAATTTCTGCTGTGATTTTTATCATTTTGTCCCTCATATGAGCTTTGGATTTGACTTGTTTTTCTTTTTCTAGAAGATTAAGATTCAACATTAGGTTATTTGAGCTTACTCTGTCTTTCTGATATCAGAATCCACCACTGTAAATTACCCTGATAGGACTGCTTTGTTGCATCCCATGTTGTATTGGCATTATCATTTTATGGTAGAAACTATCTAATTTCTTCAATTCTCTCTGTGACCCATTGTCTGTTCAGGAGGGAATTGTTTAATTTCCATGTGTTTATGCAATTTTTGTGGTTTCTTTGCCATTGATTTGCAGTTTCATTGCACTATGATCAGATAATATGCATGGGATAATTTCAGTTCCTTTGCATTCACTTAACCATGTTCTGTAAGCTAGTACATGGACTATTTGGAGAACACCCCATGTCTAGCTGAGAAGAAACGTATTCTGATAGGGTGGAACACTGTAGACATCTGCTAAGTTCATTTGTTCAAAAGTTTGGTTCAGTTCTGATATTTGTTCATTTTTCTGTCTTGTTGATTTATTTGTGACAGTGGGGTATTGAGATTCCCCATTAACTTTGTACTAGTGCTTATTTGATTTTTCATGTCTGATAATATTTGTTTTATATAGTTGGGTGCACTGATTTGTATACTTTCAACAGAATTTTTAATCTTCTTACTGTTTGAACCTCTTTCATGGATTCTATTTCTTTCCTATGTTGGGCATTCATGGTTTCCATCATTTTCCTAAGCCCCCCTATTTTTTTATCTGTATCTGCTCTAGTACTGCTAACCATAACTTTCATTATAGTTGCCATCTATGTAGTTACCTGAGAGATTATTTCTGATTTGATTTTTTTCCTAGAACCTCATTCATCTGTTTTGTTACTTCTGATTTTATCCCTTCAGAGAGTACAGGTGGGTGGCTTTCAAATTATTCCACCTCATTGCCCCATAGGTTTGCCTTTGGTGAGCTGGAGTTGTATCTTGCTTAAGTGTCTTCCATTCATATTCAGTTTAATTCCTCGATTGATGCTTCTAAATTGCTTATGGTAGGTAGCTTTATTGCTAATATTTAGAACCCTTAGGAAATGACTACATCTGCTGTCTTCCAGATGAAGGTGGCTTTAGGGTTTTGAGACTGTTGCAAGATCTTACTTCTTCTGTTCTTTGATGATGAGAAGTTGCTGCCTACCCCCTGGTTTTTGGCACTGGCCTATAGTATTGTTTATGACCCTTAGCTAATCTCAATCTTGGCATACCAGGAAGAACAACTAATTAGAAAAATTACGCCATCTTGGCTAAAGTAGCACAACCAGCAATACCAATAACATCAAACACAGCCTAGAGCATGACAAACTGTGGTAACGATTAATTTGCCACCTTTTACCATATGAACTAAATTTGTGATTATATAAAAAAATCTAAAACAAAATTATATATGGTAAATATGTCCTCAATATGGCAGTTTTACCCTCAGAAGACAAATTTGGAAGAGGTAGGGAGAAAACAGAAATACAAAAAGAGGAAGAGTTTAGAAACAAGGCTGGAGGACAAAGGAAGATTACACAAACTTTGGGAAACTGATGAAAAAGACAGGCGGGAAAGAGAAGGAAGAAATAAAAAGAACATAACAATAATACTAGAAACAATGTTCACTTATATAAAAACAAGAACAGTCAATCAAAAACAAAACAAAAAAAATTTATTTATTTATTTATTTATTTATTTATTTATTTTTGCAGTACTGGGGATCGAACTCATGACCTTGCACTTGCTAGGCAGGGTCTTATGCCACTGAGCTATATCCCCAGCCCTGAAAAAAGATTTTTAAAAAGAAGAAAAAAATGTCCCCTTCAGAGCATGGTTCTGCTGTCACTGGTAGATACAGAGCCCAGATCCATGTTGATTAATCCCAGCAAGGCAACCATAGATTTAAAGTAGGGTAGTGGATAATCCCAGCAAGCCTGCACCTTCAGTTCCACTGAAGTTCAAGCTGGTTTCTGGCTGTGAGACTGGAACTGTATTTGTTTAGCTTGCAACATTTGGCATATCTCCTGCCAGCATTAACTCCATTCTGCTTCATCCTGACACTGGGTTCCCTAGATGAGACTGGAACCATATTTGTTCAGCCTGCAACATTTGGCATATCTCCTGCCAGCATTAACTCCATTCTGCTTCACCCTGACACTGGGTTCCCTAGATGGAGCCAACATCCAGCTGCTCTGAGTTCTAATTTCAGTTGTCCTGTCTCCATGATGACTACTGGCTAGTCACCCTCTCCTGGGGGGCATCTGAGTCCAAATAGCTCACCAGCCCCTGCAGTCTGCTGCATCTACTGCTGTGTTCCACTGGTGTCTTTTCTCCATGGAAGCCTCTGGGGTTTTTAGTAGTCACTGTGAGTCCGCAGGTTTGAGCTGCCCCTTCCAAGCAGTGAGTCAGGCCTCAGAAAGTGCTGCCTGCTACCTCCTTTTTCTGCACTGAGATTTCTCTGTTTGCTCTCCCTGTGGGCTTCAGTTCTCACATCAGATCCTTGCTAGGTCCCAGGGACCAACTTCCCTCCTCCTTTTCTTCCTTACATGACTGTATTCTAGAGTGGCTCATTCTCTGCTGTTTGCCATTCTGTCGTCTACCCAGAAGTCTGAGTGATTGCATTTGTGACAAGCTTCCAGAGGACACTTTGCTGCTTGCCTAAGAACCCACAGCAGATGACCTCATGGGACAGTCAGAGGATGAAATGTGTGGTTTTTCCCAAACCTCATTTTACAGAGGCATTTTTTTTTAGCCATTATGACAGTTACTCTGCCAAAAATTCATTACGAGGTGCTGTGCAAAATAAGTACAGGCCCTGCCCTTATGGCTTTTATTCCAGTAGACATCTGTTCATTCTGTTGGCTTTTTTCTGTCTTTTGTTTACCTGTTCATTTATAGCTATACATACAAGCAAATCTACTATTTCAAAGTACTGCTTTCCCTTGCTATTTTAGAACCAAAAAAAGCCTGAAAACGATGATGACATGGAGATTAAGAAGCAGTTGTCCAAGTATGAATCTCAACTTTCAACAAATGAGGAGAAAGTAGATGCAGATGACCGTAAGTCCCTATGAGTGGGGACCAGTGGGAAGAGGTGGGGCTGTGTCCTTTTGGTTTTGTTCTTTTTTTTTTTGGTGTCAGAAATCAAAACTCGGGACCTTGCACTTGCCAGACAGGCGCTCATGCCACTGAGCTATATCCCCAACCCTTGTTCCTTTAAATATCTCATACTTTAAAAAAAATTGTCAGTGGGGCATGATGACTCATGCCTGTAATCCTAGCCCTCGGGAGGCAGAGATAGGATGATTGCCATGAGTTTAAGGCCAGACTGAACTACATAGCAAGACCCTGTCTCAAAAAACAACAAAAGAATTGCCAATGAGTAGGTTGTTTCTATATGTATTTATATTTCTTTGCATGTATGTGTGTTTTTATGGGGGGAGGTGCTGTGATTGAACCCAGGGGCTTATACATGCTAAGCATGGCTATATCACTGAGTTTCCCCTCAGCCCCTGTAGTTTCTTTTTGTTTGTTTGTTATTGGTTTGTTTTTTGAGACCAGTCTCTTTATGTAGCCTAGGCTGGCCCTGAACTCACAGCAGTCTTCCTGTCTGAACTCCTTGCTGCCAAGGTTATAAGCATGTGCCACCACAGCCAGCCTGGTAATTTCTTATTTTGAGATAAATTCAGAGTTACAGAAAAGTTTCAGGAATAATGCAGCTGTACATGATGGCATATGCCTATAATCCCAGCACTTAGGAGACTGAGACAGGAGGATTACAATGTGTTCAAAGCCAGCCTGGGCTATATAGTGAGTTGAAGTTCAGCCTGAACTATGTAGCAAGACCCTGTCTCAAAAGAGGGGAAAAAAAAGAAAAGAATAGAATAGAGTAGTTCAAAGAATTACTGAATATCTTTCACTCAAATTTTCTATCTAGAAGCACACACACATTTTTTTCTGAACTACTTGAAGGTAAGTTATAAACATGATACTTCCTTTTTATTTATTACTATGGTCCAATTCAAAATCAGGAAATTTGCCAGGTGTGTAATCAGAGCTACCGAGGGAGCTGAGACAGGAGAATAACAAGTTCAAGGCCAGCCTGGGAAATTTAGTGAAACTTGTCTCAAAACAAAATTTTAAAAAGGGGTAAGGATATAGCTCAGAAATAGAGCACTTGCCTAGCATGCTGAAGACCCTCGATTTAATACTTAGAACTGAAAAAGAAATCAGGAAGTTTATACTGATGCAGTACCATTCTATAGTCTGTAGACCTCTTTTTTCTTCCAGTTGTCTTTATTCCTTCTCTCCACCCAAAGGAAAAAAAAAAAACGGTCCAGTGTGCAAGCCAGGACTGAATGTTGCTCTTACTTGCTTCTCATTTAGTTTGTATAATATATTTTCATGACTAGATGATCAGTTTGGGCTGGAATACCAAAGTGGAATTACATCCCTTTTGGTGACGTGACGTGCCACCCACTGTGATGCTTTGTCACTGGTAGTTCTTGTTTTGGTTACTTGGCTAAGGTCATATCTACATGTTTGTCTTGAAAAGTTACTATTTTTCCTGTAACTGTGAGCATGGCCTTTCTTACTGGAAGGACTCTGTTAAGATTCATGTTCTTAAATCCTGCTTCTTGCTATGACCTTCAAGGCCTACTGTGCCCTTTACTCTCCCCCACTGTTCTCTCCACTGCAACTTTATTGCCTTTCTTCCTGTGAGCACATGCAGTTTGTCTCTGGGCCTTGCACTCACCGTTCCTTCTGCCTGGGGCGCTCTCCCAGATTTTTCACATGAATTCTTTCTATTCTTCAGGTCTCAAGTCAGATATACCCTCCTAAGAGGCCCTCTCTGATCATTCCAGTGCAGCAGGTTTCAGTTACTCTCCTTCATTTCACCCTTTCTTAATTGGTACTGGTGCATCAAATTACCTAGTTTGTACATGTGCTTGCTTACTAAGTGGGGTGCTCTCTCAACAGGAATTTAAGGTTTCTTGAAAGTAGACATTTTACTGTGCTCCATTCTATCCCCAGGCAGACGAGAAAGCCCAGCATAGTGTAGGTGCTCATTAGATAGTTACATACCTAGAAGGTTTCCTGTTTACCCTACATTTTCCAGTATGCTGTTTTTCTCTAAAGAGTGAGTAAAATCCCTCACTTCCTCTTCTCTCCTACCCCTACTTCTTTTCCTCCTCCTCCTTTTTTAAAGAGATAAGGTCTTACTAAGCAGTATAGGTCTGCCTCAAACTCATGTTGTAGCTCAGGCTGGCCTCAAATTCTCCGTCCTCCTGGCTCAGTCTTCTGAGTGCTGGGATTGCAAGTGTGCACCAGCATGCCTGGCTTCACTCATACTGCTTCTATTCCCTCTTCAACTTTTTGAATGGACTCCAGTGAAATCAGGGGAAGAAATAGTGGCTGGAGAATTGGAGCACAGGGACAGATATGCTCCCAAGAAAATGGTAATAGTACAAGCCAAAGAAGTAACAACCTTACTGTGGCAAGTTTACTTTTTCTTGCCTAAATAGATAATAAATGCTTTGTGGTGATGATGAAATAAACTAGGTTATTTTGTTATTCTTTGAACTTAACCCTCCAGAAAAGAAGTCAGATGACAGGATTATGCAGGTTTTGTTTTCAATTTTTGATATTTTTCTAAATAAAATAAATATTTTAAATAGCTACCATAATATTTTTAAGAGTAAGCGTATGATTTATGTGTAGTCAAAAATAACTCAGCTTTTAAAACATAGGGAAGTAGAAGAAACTGAAAGAGAATCAGTAGGTTAGTTATTGAAAGTTAGTGTTTAAAATCCATTCCTGCCAGGCACACTGGTGCACGCTTGTAAGCTTGTAATCCCAGAACTCGGGAGGCTAAGACAGGAGGATCACTGCAAGTTCAAGGCCAGTCTGGGCTACAAAATGAATTCAGAGCCAGGGATATAGCTCAGCCACACAGCACCTGCCTGGCAAGCACAAGGTCCTAAGTTCAATTCCTGGTGCCAAAAAAAAAAAAAAAAGTGAATTCAAGGCTGGCCTGAACTGCATAGTAAGACCCTGTCTCAAAACGACAAAATAACAACGAAGTAAATAAAATCCATTCCTAATGTGTGAGATCATTCAATTTCTAATGTTTAGTTCTGCAGGTGTGAGAGATAAAGACACTTTAAGATCATTTGTTGCTTTTTGTCTGGTAATGTTTCACATGTGTCCCAAATACATTAACCAGGCCTTCTGACTTCATTCCAGTGTCCTTTGTGTTTATTCTTAGGAACTGAAGGCTATTTACCAGCAGACTCCCAAGAGCCCTCCCACTTTGATTCTCAGCAGCCAGCAATCTTGGAAGAAGAAGAGGTCATGATAGCTCATGCTCATCCACAGGAAGTCTACAATGAATATGTACCCAGAGGGTGCAAGAACAAATGCCATTCACATTTCCATGATACTCTGGGCCAATCAGATGACCTCATTCACCACCATCATGACTACCATCATATTCTCCATCACCACCACCACCAAAACCACCACCCCCACAGTCACAGTCAGCGCTACTCTCGGGAGGAGCTGAAAGATGCTGGCATTGCCACTTTGGCTTGGATGGTGATCATGGGCGATGGCCTGCACAACTTCAGCGATGGCCTAGCAATTGGTATACATCTATATTTTTTTGTTCTTTGTTGTTTGACTTAGAGATGATATTAAACACCCAGTCATTTTTACAAAAGAATAGGCTCATTTTACTGTAGGTAAGGATTTTAGTGACTGAAGTGACTAAAATTATCAAAATGTTATTTTCTTTGGCTACTTTTACAAAGCAGTGCTCAGCGAAAGTTAGAGATAATTAATTGCTAGGATCTGTGCCTAGCCTGTTACATAAATTCTATCAAAAGTAGTGTTTCATTTACAGTACCTTAAGATTAGGCTTTAACTTGCCAGGAACCTGTATGAGGTTTTTTTCACCCTATAATTGAATTTCTCTTATTGATGCTATAAACCGTGTTTAATAAGGTAAAATCTTTTTTTTTCTTTTTTTCCTTCTTATATTGGGGATTGATCTCCAGGCACACTCTTACCACTGAGCTACATCATGAGCCTTTTTTTATTTTTTGTGTGGAGAGAGGGTCTCACTAAGTTGCCCAGGCCTGAAACTTATAATCCTTCTACCTCAGTCTTTCAGGTAGCTGGGATTACAAGCATGTGCCACCATGCTGGTTCTGTCATCTTGTCTTTTATGCTAAAAGAATCTTCACGTATTTGATAAATCCAGTTATGTTTATATCTATAGAATTACAGAATTTTTATTTCAAATTATTATGCCATAATTCGGAGATAATAAAACACAAATTTTAGTCATTTAGTTCTAGAAGGAACCATGGAAATTATTACAAACTAGGCAGTTGAGGCATGACAAAATGGCAAGGAGGCAGTGCTCTTTTATAGCCAGGCTGAGGTGAGTTCAGACTTGGTTTCCCAGGAGTCTATTACTGTTCCTTCCACATTATTTGTACACATTATAGTAATCAAAGGAGACATAATGTCTAAACACACAGTCATGGTCAATAATTGATCAGTTATGTATGTTTTTTAAAGTGGGAATATGGGATAGCTATTTGTCTTGGAATCTTATAAGAAAATGAATGTAAACAATTCTAATGATAGTGAATTTTCAGAGGCTGTGAAACATTTATATACTTAACTGCAGAATATTTTTTCTAAACCTTTTAAAATCAATTTACACTGTATTCTTGAGTAAGGGTTTTATGTGATAGCAGTTACTTCTTAGGTATATAGATCTTCTACTCATTCTAAGGCATAGTTGAATTTTTCCTTCTCTGTTGTACCTGCTTGTGCTCCTCTGAAAAATTTAGACCTAATGGAATGTAATCTAAGATTTCTTACAAAGAAGATAAGAGCTGACTTCGAGAAGTCTGTATTTATTCACAGCCAAAATATAGTTTTGGGTTTTTTGACCTCATTTTGTGTGCCACTATTGAGAAACCCTCTTGTAATTTCAAGAGGTGTAATTTCAGAGACTGAGGCAGGTGGATTCTAAGTTCAAGCCCAGTCTGGGCAACTTAGCAACTTAGCAAAACCTCATCTCAAAATAAAACATGAAAATAGGGCTGGACCTGTAGGTCAGTGTGGGTTCCATCCTCAGTACCCTCTGCTCCCCAAAATAATGTGTCTGAATTTTTTCTGGTTGATTTTTACAGGGGCTGCTTTCACTGAAGGCTTATCAAGTGGGTTAAGTACTTCTGTCGCTGTGTTCTGTCACGAGTTGCCTCATGAATTAGGTAAGAGAGCTATATAAATTATTTGTCATAGGAGCAAAATAGCCTAGTGGCCCTGGCTTTTCCTAATGAGCATTCTAGCGTGCATCTTTATAACTTTTGTCCCTTCTCATGAGTCTGAGGACCAACCGGACTTTCTTTCCTTGCTGGGCAGAATTTTCTTTTTTTTTAATTGGTTGGTTTGTTTTTGGTGGGTTTTTTAATTTATTTATTTGTGTGTGTGTGTGTGTGTGTGTGTGTGTGTGTGTGTGTGTTTTTTAAGAGAGGGTTTCACTATGCAGTTCAGGCTGCCTTTAAACTCACTTTGTAGCCTAAGCTGGCCTTGAACTCTTAAGTGATCCTTCTGCCTCAGCCTTCTAAGTGCTGGGATTACAGGCATGTGCCGCCACACCTGGCCTTTTTTAATTCTTATGAGACAGGGTCTTGCTTTGTAGTTTAGGCTGTCCTTGAACTGACTATGTAGCCCATGCTATCCAGAACTTACAACAGTCCTCCTGCCTCAGCCTCCTGAATGCTGGCGTTACAGGCATGCACCACTATGCCCAGCTCCAAGCAGAATTCTGACCCAACAAGTACATCATTGCCTATGTGGTGTTGCCAGAGAAGCCTGGCTCCCTGTGTGTTCTTTCTCTATTAAGTATCTTTTTATGCCCCTCTACTGGTGACAGCAGTGATTGTTTTCATACACATACTGTGATTAAGGCTGCAGCATACAAAGAAATGATTTTCATTAACAGGAAAATTGAAGAAAGGATCTTACTGGAGCTGAAGAAAAGGGGAGTTGATGAGTTGTATCTTGACATATTCATCTCTCACTAGGAATTGAAACCTTCTGTAGTTGTTTTGATCCCAGTTTCTGTCCTGGTTTTTCTCCTTATGGACACATACTTCTTCATGTGCACCCTGATGCTATTTCCACTTTTTTTTTTCTGGAATTGGGAATTGAACCCAGTAGTATTCTATCTCTGAGCTATATCTGCAGCCCTTTTTTAAATTTTATTTTGAGACAGGGTACTGCTAACTTGCCCATGAGTGCCTCAGAATTGCAGTGCTCCTGCCTCAGCCTCTCTAGTAGCTGGGATTGCATTGCAGTCGGTGCCACGGCACCGAGCTCTATTTTCGCTTTTGTTCCTTGCCATGTGTTCAGCCACTCAGAAGGCCTCTCTTCTGCCTGCTCAGTACTTGTAAGTAAACCTCGGTATCTTGTTTGATTTCCACATTTGAGATCCTTCAAGCCCCTTGAAACCTGTCAACCATTTTTATCTTTATTTATCTCTTTTTCATGTTCATTAGCTCTTAGATATCACCTTTACATTTGCTAATCATTTCATGTGTTCTCTACCCTCCCCTTCTCAAGGAATTACAGGCTCCTTAAAGACAGTACCAGATGGGCTGGGGATATAGCTCAGTGGTACAGTGCGGCCTGGCAAGCACAAGGTTCTGAGTTTGATTCCTGGTACCAAAACAAAAAATATTTCAAGACAATACCAGAGTAATGTACTAGCTTTGTGCTGTTCATTAGTTGTTGACAAAGTATAAGCTCTAAGAAAGTGTTGGAGGCCAGGGATGTAGCTCAGCGGTACAGTACCTGCCTGGCAAGTGCAAGGTCCTGCGTTCAATTCCCAGCACCAAAAGAAAGAAAAAAGTTTTTAGTTTACAAGAGCTGTGTTACTTACATTGATCAACATTGCTATAATCCTAGGTTGGTTTCTTTTCTTTTTTCCTCAAAAGAGAGAAGACTCTTGGGTATGTATCTTAAACATGATTTCTCAATTACTTTACGTTCTTTGTTTTCTGTTAAAAGGTGACTTTGCTGTCTTACTAAAGGCTGGCATGACCGTTAAGCAGGCTGTGCTTTATAATGCATTGTCAGCCATGCTGGCGTATCTTGGAATGGCAACAGGAATTTTCATTGGGCATTATGCTGAAAATGTTTCCATGTGGATATTTGCACTTACTGCTGGTTTATTCATGTATGTTGCTCTGGTTGATATGGTAAGTTTTAAGAAGTCAGATGACATTGACTAAATATAATAGAAAAAATATTCAGTAAAATTCATTTCTAAAGAGGTTTTAATTTAAATGTAAGTGATTCTAAATTCAGGGGTGGTATGTAATAATACAGTTCCTGTCGGGTGTGGTGGCTCATGCCTATAATCCCAGTATTCGGGAAGCTGAGGCAGAAGGATCATCACAAGTTAGAGGCCAGCCTGGGCTACATAGTGAGTTCAAGGCCTGCTGAACTGCATAGCAAGACCCTGTCTCAAGAAAATCTGTCAATCTACTTTCAGTTTTGGATTGTTGGACATATGCACACCTTTATTCTGCCAACTGTGCACCAGGATACACGTAAATAGCTATCCTCCTCTGATGTATCTTTTTAGAGGAGAATTTTAGAGTAATAATGAGGCTCTGAATTGTTTGTAGATTGGAAATAAACCTAGAAGAAGCCATGTATTATTGGCATGCTGGGTGTACTTCAGAATGCTTGATGTATCCTTATTAACTGACAAAGGAGATTTATCCTTTTGTCACCAACATCCTCACAACAATCTGAGCCAATTTTATTGATAAAACTGTACTTTATTGAGTGTTGGATTTCCTATCCTGAACTAAAAAGGTGAACCACGTTATATCCAGTTCAAATATGCAGGGTATAACTGAACCAGGGAAATCAGTATAGCTTTTCATTTCCATTTTGGTCCACTTGCGCCAACTGGACTAATACAGATATTTTCTTGTTCAGAACACCGTGAATAATCATTGTTAAACTGCTAGGAAATGCAGCGTAAGATTATTAAATTTGCTATGTATGTAGCTATGTTTTAATGAATTGAGCTATATTATAACTACAAAAAAAGATATATTTTCATAAAAAAATCTCCTAAAAATTAATTTGTAGTTCTGAAAACCTAAATGTTACTTTTTTTTTCTTTTTCAGGTACCTGAGATGTTACATAATGATGCTAGTGACCATGGATGTAGCCGTTGGGGATATTTCTTTTTACAGAATGCTGGGATACTTCTGGGTTTTGGGATTATGTTACTTATTTCCATATTTGAACATAAAATTGTGTTTCGTATAAATTTCTAACTAGGTTATAAATGCTAGAGTAGCTTTAAAGAATTGCTGTCTATAGTTTAAATGGGTCATAGGGAGATGAATTTGTATGCTGTCATATACAGCATTTAAAGTTAGTGGATTTTGTGATTTTTGTATTGAATATTACCATTTATTATGCTGATAGGGTCAGTTATGTTGGTAACATAAAGGTACGTTTTAATATTTAAGTTATTCTATTTTGGAAATAGAAGCTATGTGTGCAATCCACCAATATTCTCAGTTTATTGTATGAACAAGATATTTGACATGACATGTTCTGTATATTTCCGGAAAATGTCTTTAATACTTTGGTACACTAAGTTAATACAGTAATTGTCATACTGGATCTAGGCCTCTGAAGAATTGTTGATTTCAAGAACATGCACAAAGCCTAAGTGTAAGCTAATGAATGAGAAGGGAAAAAAGAACCTGAGAGTGAAGAGGTGTAGATTTCTTATAAAAATCACAAAATTGGTGATAATATAGAGGGGGAAATAGATACAACTTTTAAAAGGAATAAGTAGTATAGAGTACATTCATAAATAAAGTATTACTGTTCCTGTAAAGACATAGCACTTTTCATATACGTACTAATTTAGTTGTACATTTGTTTGTAAAATAGCAAAATCTAAGTATATTTAATGAGTTCAGGCAGTGTATCACTTGGCCAAGAAATTGGAATTTGGAAGTATTTGTGTAAAGATATGCAAGATGAGTGTAGTAAGTTTTTGTGTCCCTGAAAGACTTTGTCATCACCAAATTATATATCAGCAAAATTTATATGATTGGATGTTCTGGTTTTCTCGTTTACCCAGTACCACAGTACTACAATTTGGATCTTTGTGAGGACACTTAAAACCCATTCTGAGTATATTTGACTTCTTGGATTCAGAAAGTACTTTGTACCTTATGGTGCTTCAGTGTCGTCATTGTGAGCAATTGTCCTTTTATATATGGTACTGTAGACATACTAGAGCTTCTGTGACATTGTCTAGATGTTTCTTTCTTACCAAATAAATGCTTCATGTCAGACATCACAGTTTGTTTCCTTCTTTCTACCATCTTAGCCATTTCAGTAGTTTCGAGTCTAAGTTATTGTGCAACCGATCTCCACAACTTTTTCATCTTGCAAAAGCAAAACTCTATACCCATTAGCTAACTCCCCGTACACCCCTCACCTCCCGCCTCTGACCCCTGGTAACTACCATTCTACATTGTGTTTCTTTTTATTTTTTTACTTTTTTATTTTTTTATTTTTTTGGTTTTGGTTTTTTTCCTGTACCAGGAATGGAACTCATGACCTCACGCTTGCCAGACAGGCGCTGTGCCACTGAGCTAAATCCCCAGCCCCTACACTGCGTTTCTATAAAATTGAAATGTCTAATTTTGTAACCTACAAACCAGATTATAGTATACTAGCTCATTTATATATTATTTTATTGTGTGACACCTTATTCAATTTCTAAATTCTTTATCACAAAGGGCATTTCAAAGAATACTGGTCCACAGTTGTTCCCAGATGTCCCTAACATTTTTTTTCAATCCCTACCCAAAGCTGGAGAAGAACTATTACTAGCCTGCATTCTAAAGGTCAGAAATAATAGACAATACCCACCTCCTACTTTGGGGCCAAAGAGAAACAAGGGGGCCGGCATTTCTGTTTCCCAAATCAAGTGATGGAATAAGAATAACAAAATTATAGTTTCAGGAGCCAAAAAGGGTGAAATGAGGCATCTCCTTTGACTGGTTACTCTGCTTCAGGAACAGAGACTTACTGTAGCATTGCTGCTAGATCAGTTTACAATGAGGAAGTTCTTGTAATAATTGGAAATGTTCCTGTAGACTGAAGCCAAGGTGGGAGGATCACAAGTTCAAGGCCAGCCTGAACAACTTAGCAAGACTCTTATCTCAAAATAAAATTTAAAAGCTGGGGATGTAGCTCATCAGTAGAGTGCTCCTGAGTTCAAGCCTCAGTTTCACCCACACCAAAAAAAAAGTTTCTATAGGAATTTAAGGAATACAGAGACAGGTATCTTCTCTGTTCATAAAGATTCTGAAATTGAGGGGAGTAGGAAATATGTTCCCTGACCACCCAGGAAAAGATAAATAGGAAGAATGGTTCCCACTCTAGTTTGAACCCACTATTGGGTATATGGAAAACTTCAGCAGTTAGTAGTTAGTTCCCCATGGCTCTGTAGGAGAATATAGATTAGAGGGAAATACAGGAGCTGTGCAGTATGCACAAAAGTTTAATCTATCAGAAAAAGGCAAAAATGAGTGAAAGGAGACATGACTAGGGTAGACACAAGTAATAAAAGCAGTCTATCAGAACAGTGATGTTTAGAGTTAATTTGTAAGTTGTCAGTGATTTTCTCTAAGCTTTTAGTTTCATTTTCTTAAATGTTTAATCTGTTTTCAATTGCTCTGGTTTTCACAATTTATTGTTTTCTATTATGTGTCTTTTATTTCTCATTTTTAAGTGGAAGCTTAATTATTGAAAATTTTTCCAATATAAACATTAATTCTAGAAATTTTCTTATAAACACTGCTTTAACTCCATCCTACAAATTTTGATGTGTTGCATTTTCATGTTTGTTCAGTTCAAAATAAACTAAAAGGATAAGAGAGTACTAATACGAATTTGGCAGCTGGGGCTATAGCTCAGTGGCTTAGAGCCTGCCGGGCAAGCGCAAGGTCCTGAGCTCAATTCCTGGTACAAAAAAAAAAAAAAAAGAAATGAAACAAACTAATATGAATTTGGTAACTTAGATAACATGGATCAATTTCTCAAAAACCACAAGTTGCTAAAAGTTAACGAACACAAGCAGTGTGCATAGTCTGTAACTATTAAACAATTTATAGTTAAAACTTCTGAAAGGTAAATTTCAGGCTGAGATGATTTTATTGGTCAATTCTACCAAATATGTAAAGAAAAATACCAATAGTACAGTATATGAATGATCTCCTTTCCAAATTAGGAGAGAAGGGAATATGTCCCAACCTTTTTTTTTCTTTTTTCTTTTTTTTTGGTACCAGGAATCAAACTCAGCACCTCACACTTGCTAGGCAGGCGATGTGCCACTGTGCTATACCCCTGGCCCCCAACTCATTTTATGAAAACATTATCTTGATATGAAAACCCAACAAGGACAGCACAAGAAATTATACAGACCAAGAAAAAATTCATGATCATATGAATGCAGAAGAAACATTTGCTAAAACTTAATCATTTATGATTGAGAAAAAGAAACCTCAGTAAACTAGCTAACATCATCCTTACCAGTTGAAAAGAAGTGCTTTCCCCTCTAAAACTGGATGTAAAGCAAGATTGTCCATTTTCATCCTTTTCAAAATCATGCTGACAATCCTATCAAAATAAGGAAAGATTAAAAAATAAAAATACATACAGGTTGGGAAGAAATAAATTCGTTACAATTCACAGATGACTTGTTTGTCTACATAGAAAATCCCAAGGAATGTATTAAAAACTTTATAGAACTACTGGATTTAGCATTGTAAGCATGTGATGTCGGGCTGGGGATATAGCTTAGCAACACAGTGCCTACCTGGCAAGTGCAAGTCTTGAGTTCGATTACCGGTACCAAAAGAAGAATATGATGTTGACACAAAAATTCATCTTCTATTTACAGACAGTTGAAGCTAAGACTTAAAAACAAACTCCATTTACAATAGTTTCCCCCAAAATATAATACTTGGATTTAATTCTAGCAAAACATGCAGGATCTTTATACTGAAACTTTTAAAATGCTGATAAAAATAAATGAGAAACATATCATGTTCATTGATTAGAAAAGAACATTATAAATGTATTCACTTCAATTGAAATCCTAGCAGAATGTTTTGAGGTAAGACATGTTGTTTCTGGCAGAGGCATGGAGCCACTGAACTTTTATACATTGCTGTTGGGAAGGCAAAACAGTTCAACCAGTATGGAAAATGATTTGATATTTTCTCACAAAGGCAAATACACACCTACATTGTGACCCAGCAGTTTTCCCCTGTGTGTTTACCCTAGCATAATTAAAACTTGTGTTTACACAAAAACCTGCACAGCAGTTCTATTCATAATCATACACTGGAAACCACCCAAGTGTGCAATACTGCTCAGTATTAAAAGCAGTGAGTTCTGAATAAAGGCAACTTCCATGACCGTCACAGGCATTTTAGTGGAAGAAGGTAGACTCAAAAGGTTATGTAATGGAAGTTTCCACTTATACTATATTCTGGAAATGATAATTTGCTAGGGAGAAGAGAACAATGGTTTCCCAGAATTCATTCTGGGGCAATGTGACTGTAAAACAGTAACACATGAAGTGTTTTGGGGAGTAATGGAACCATACTGTATACTGATTTTGGTAGTGGTTATACAAATTTATTCTCTATTAAAACTTAATAGGGGGCTGGGAATTTAGCTCAGCGGCAAAAGCGCCTGCTTGGCAAGCGCAAGGTCGTGAGTTCAGTTCCCGGTACCGGAGAAAAACCAAAAAAAAAAAAAAAAAACTTAATAGAAGCCAGGCTTGGAGGCGCACACCTGTAATCCCAACACTCGGGAGGCTGAGGCAGGAGAACTGTTGCAAGTTCAAGCCTAGCCTGGGCTACAAAGTGAGCTCAAGGCCAGCCTGAACTGCATAGCAAGACCCTGTCTCAAAAAAAGAAAAACTTAATAGAACTCTCAGGAAGGAGGATCCCAAGGTCAAGCCCAGCAAGGACAACTTAATGAGACCCTGTCTCAAAATGGACTAAAGATGTAGCTCAACAGGAGAGCACCCCTGGGTTGAAAGTTCAATGCCCAGTTTGAAAAAAAACTTGTAGAACTCTATGATAAAGCGAAATTTCCCGTTTATTGAACTTTTTTTTCTTATAAAGCAATGCCATAAATTTCCCCTCTTGATTTAATTATATAATTTATAATATCAAGTGCTTTATACATAGATGTGGGTATGTACTAGAGATTTTTGGAAAGGTACAGTCAAGTAGGAGTCGAGTTTAGTGTTCTTTATAAATTTCTCTACTTGACTTTTACTTTACCTTTTTATGTAACAAACTTTACCATGTTAGCCTTTTTTTTTTTTGGTTTTTCTCCGGTAACGGGAACCGAACTCGCAACCTTGCGCTTGCAAGGCAGGCGCTTTTGCCGCTGAGATAAATCCCCAGCCCCTATATTAGCCATTTTTTACATGTATAGTTCAGCGGCATTCTCCACATTGTGGTGTAGCTATCACCACGATCTACATACAGGATCTTTTCATCTTCTGAAACTGAAACTCCACACACATTAAATAATAATTCTGCATCCCACCTTTCCCTAACCCCTGGCAAACACCGTCCTACTTTGTCTTTATAAATTTGACAATTTTAGGCACCTCATGGAACACAGGATGTTTGTCCTTTTGTGACTGGCTTGTTTCGTAATGTCACCAAGGTTCATTCATCTATGCTGTAGCATATGTTAGGATATCATTCCTTTTTAAAGCTTTAATATTCTATTGAGAGTATGTAACACACTTAGATTGTATTTAAGCCTGTGCAGTAAGCAAGCGTTAAATACAAAGTAATTTAGTGGAACCAGTCTGCCGCCTTGTGGAATTGCAAAGCAACTTCAAATTTTACAAATTGAGAGAATAACCAAGTTAGAAATTCATGCCACCCGATTCAACTATTACCTTTTCTTTTTTCAGTGACAAAGAACTCATTTCATTTAACATGGCTATGCAAAATCTATATGAAAAGAATTTTTTATATCAAAAGAATTTTAAAAGTTGCTTATGAACCCAAGGATTTAAGTAAATGTAAGCATATTTTCTACTCATGAATAGAAGGAATGAACTGCAGACACGATTTTTTCCCCCAAAACTGGGGATTGTACTTGGGCCTTTGCACTGAAGTACATCCCCAGCCATTTTTTACTTTGAGGCAGAGTCTCACTAAGTTGCTAAATTGCCCACCCTGAGCCTGAACTTGCTACCCTCCTACCTCAGCTTTCCAGAGTTCTGGGAGTTCAGGTATGTGCCACCAC